CAGGTTATGACTAAGACAAAGAAAGCATTACTTAGGTTAAATTTAGGGCAAGGCTGGGCCCAGAGCACAAGACAGGCTTTAGCTGTTGTTAAGAGCCATAAGAAAACTATGAAAAGCATTTCTGTCTTATGCAGAGAAGGAACAATTCAACAGAAATAAGGTTTAACAGTTTCCTGCCTAAATATTGTGAAACAAGTCAGCAGGGGTCTGTGTTAGAGTGAAAGAGAGCTTGGAGGTGGTCTCAGCAGGAAGGTAGCACTTCCCTGGAGTGCCTATATGGATGATCTGAATGAAGCTTTTTAAGAATTAGCAAAGAAATTAAGTATGATGGAATATGCAAGATAATAATAATATGTGAAATGTATGTTCTTAATTCGTTTCTAAATTTTCTCCCGTGTTCACTGTTTTCAAATGTACCACCAGCACCAGAACTTCCTAAGAAATCACTCTGAAATTTCCAGGGCATGGCAATGATTTCTGTGGACTTCGTACCTCATCATGGAAGTTGTCTTAGTTTGAGTTCTAGGTATACTGCTTTTGATGATAGCAATAGGCACACATGAGAACAAGGTTAAGTAAGTGTTTATTTGAGGATTTAATATTGTACACACTGTAGGAGTAAAGCAGTTATCATGCTGTTAATCTCATATTCATGTATGGCTTATTTATTTGTTGTTTACCTCTCTGCATAATGAAAATGCCATGGAAATCTGCTTCTTCTAGCACTCTAATTTTAAATGAAGCTAAATGTTATGTATAATTTCAAGATACGGATTGCTAATTTCATTCTATTTTAAATACTGTATGCATGAGAAGCTTCTATGTTCTCGCAGAATCCATCTTTAACCAGAATCAAAGCATAATTTTCTAAGTAATTATAGAATAGGTAGTTAATAGATTAAAATATGAATCAGAAGCATCATAGGCATATTTTGAACTGTATAGTTTTCTAAACCCATATATATGTATATGTGTGTGTGTGTGTATTCCCTATCTCAGAATCAACACCTTAGTTACTTTTCTGACAAATATAATGTAGTCAAAACATAATCTCTCTTATTGCTCCTACTGATAAATTATTTGCGTCTGGCTTATTTGTAATTTGGTGGCAGAATCAATATTTGGTAAAATGATTCTGAAAGCTTCAGGGGCACTACAGTTTTCATTTATTTACATGATATGCTATTTTTAAAGAACCAGTCATTGCCAGAATTCTATGTTAGTTCATCTTCTGAGAATATAATGGAAAAAAAAGAAAGAAAGAAGTTCATATCTAATGTACATGGAGTTTTCTTCTCCAGTCTGAGAAGTTCTCAAGTAACATGCCTCAAGTTTCACTTCCAGGCCCACCCTTGCTCTTCTCTGTTCAATACCAGAAACTAGAGTTGTGTATCATCCAAGTTTTTCTAATTTTCTATTTTTTCAGCAAGTATCACTGTGTGCCCACCATGTGCATGAATAAAGTCCCTATTTCTGGGTGGCTACAGCCCAGTTGAGAAGATAACACATAGATGTGAAATATTGAATAAATAATACAACAAGCCAATATACATTTAAATATGCCAAAGGCAGAAATTGTTGAGGAAATTCACTTCTGAAAACCCTTAACATAGTCTGTAAAGCTTAATATATGCCAGTTTTTCAATTTCCATTGTTATTTACAAAAATGAAACGTTGAATTAAGAAAAAAAAAGCACCATCTGCCTACCCATGCAATAATGCTTGGTTTTTATTCCCAAGCATATCAACCACTGGCTTGGCATTTTAACGAACTGAAGTACTTTTCTCATTAGATTGTGTCTGTGTCTACAAAATGCATTTTCCTGGTTACTCATTTTAATATTTCTGCTCTCTAGCTCTGCCTATGCTGGACTTGAAGCTTTCTGTCTATAAGTACGGCCTCCTTGTTAAATGACTCGTACCTTCTGGGTACCTCAAGTGCAGACTATACCTGGTGCCCCTTCTTTTTCAGTTACTTATTCAATCAATTCCATCAATCCTTTTATCAATTGATTGTTTAGTCAATATTTATATTGATTGCCTATTTTCTGTGGGCACAAAGGGCATGTACAGGCCTTTAAAGATACAGAGAAGTATGATACCTGCCCTCAATTACATTTCAAAGAAAAAGTGCATATAAAAATATTCTGTCTGGGCTGGATGTGGTGGCTCATGCCTGTAATTCCAACACTGTGGGAAGCTGAGGTGGGTAGATCACTTGAGCTCAGGAGTTCAAGACTAGCCTGGCCAAGTTGGCGAAACTGTCTCTACTAAAAATACAAAAATTAGTTGGGTGTGGTGGCACACACCTGTAACCTCAGTCACTCCGATGGCTGAGATATGGAGAATCTCTTGAACCAGGGATGGGGAGGTTACAACGAGCTGAGACTGTGCCACTGCACTCTAGTCTGGGCAACAGAGCAAGACTCTATCAAAAAAAGAAAAAAAATCTGTCTTAAGTAGAATTTTCTAAGTGTCAGAGGGAATGTTACACATTTGTTCATTCAGTCCATCAATTTATTTAGCAAACATTTTATTGAGCATTGTGATATGTCAAGCATTCTGACTCACTGGAGATACAAAGATGAATAAATCGTATATGGTGCCTGCCTGCCTTGTATGAATTTAGAGTAAGTTGATACCATGGTAGGCTAGAACCTTGTTCCTCAATGTTTGTCTGAGAACTGGGAGCATTGGCATCACCTAAGAGCTTTTCAGAAATAAATAATTTTAGGCTCCATCCAGATATGTTGAATCAAAGTCTGCATTTTATCAAAGTGCCCAAGTGATCCAAAGTAAAGTTTGAAAATCACTGGGGTAGAAGGATTATGAAATGCTTTTGTGGAGGAGCTGAAATAAGTAGATATCATCAAGTTTTATTAAAAGAGGAAGGAAGACTTGTTAAAAAGGATTGGATAAAATCTGAAATCTAATTTAGGATATGGGGTTTTCAGAGCTAGTTGGGAATGATTCTTCAAACAATGATGGGAAATGACCCAATAGTTGGTGATGATCCAGAGGGAGAGTAGTGGTGATAATGTATGATAATATGGCATTCAAAGCTGAGAGAAGGATGAATGGTCTAGATTCTAGACTCTAGAAGTAGCAATGGGATACTAATGGTGATGCAGTGGCTAAAGGCCAGACTTTCTCATCCCAGCATGTGAAGGTAAACACTCATATTCTCACACGTGATATTTAATTAACTTTTAGGATTTATACTTTTTGAATCCTAAAATTGTAGTGAAAATCAGTAAGTAGATACAAATCTATCTAGTAAAATGTTTTTATATATGCCAGTTTTTTCAAAATATGTTTAATTTATTGGACCTTAAATATGAGAAGAAAAGGAGGTAATCTTAATGGAGAAAGACTGTTTACATCTTTATCTACACAGAGTTATGTCTTCAGAATCAAGAGAAGTCCCACACAAGATTGTGAGAAAATGAAGTTTATCTGTAGTGGCTTTACGTACTTCAATCATCTTTTTGTTTTCTTCCTCTCAATTTTTGTGATCCAACACAAGGAAATCAAGACACCATTATGATTAGAAGTCAATAGGGGTAATATTGAGGGATTGGTGACCTCCTCAAATGTATTGGTTTTTGTTTTTGCTTGAGACAGAATTTTGCTCTGTCATCCAGGCTGGAGTGCATTGGCACGATCAAAGCTCACTGCAGCCTCCCAGGCTAAAGCTGTCCTCCCATATCAGCCTCTCAAGTAGCTGGGACTACAGAATCACACAACCGTGCCTGGCTAATTTTTCAAGTTTTTTTGTACAGATGAATTCTCACTATGGTGCCCAGGCTGGTCTCAAACTCCTGAGCTTAGGTGATACTCCCACCTTGACCTCCCAAAATGCTGGGATTACAAGTGTAAGCCACCACACCTGGCAAATGCATCATTTTGAATCACAGGATCTCAACTGGCTTCTGTCCTGTGAGGTCAAGTCCTCTACACAGGGATACTTCCCCTCACAGGTCTGAAAGAATTTAAGGGGCCAATGCTGTGTAACCCAACCAGCTTATGACAATCATAGACAAGGTACCTTTGCTCACTGGGTCCTTAAGACTGCCTCCACAGATGATTTCATTTCTGAGATGCTTTAAAAGTGACAACCATATCTCCTGTCTTTTTTTTTTTTTTTTTTTTTTTTACATCTGTTAGTGTGGCTTTAACATTCAGTGTGCTTTAAACACATGACTTATCTGCACACAAACCTGAGCTGACAGGGAGAAGCCTGCAGCTCTCCAATAAATGACAGACTTAATCAGTGAGACATAGAGCCTAGAGCAGTGTCTTGGATAAAGTCTACCTTACAAAGCTCAGAGATGATCAGAATGTTTTCATTGCTAATGTTTCAAATGTATCTGCACAATGATAAATTATGTTTTCTCTGAATAGAGTGCTTTGAAATCACTTGAATGGTAAATCTAGAATTATATATTCTTAGCCAATAATACTTCCTAAGTATAGAAAGCTGGAGAAGTAAATGGGGCTACGTAGGGGTTTGGAAAAAAGAGTTTGCTAGCTAGAGGTAGCATCCCTAGGTGAAAGTTTTATAGCAGACTTAGAAGGTTAATTATCTAATAAGTCAGAGTGCTGCTTTGAAAGCTAAATTATTTTATTGTAATTCAGATAGCTCATGTTTTGGGGTAAATGTTTTTTTACATAGCCACAGAAATGTCCTATCATGAAATAAATTAGTAGCTATATTGAACATTAGTAAAGGTACAGTGTTTCAGGGATAATATTTTTTATTACTTTGAGTTCTACAAGTAAAGATGTTTGTAACACCACAAATATGAGTTAAATGGCAACTGAATATTTCACTGATGGCAAATCTTCAATATTTAATGGTAGATTTGATATTTTACTTATGAAGGTCATCTGGAGCCATATACCATATAGTAAATTACCCAAATGATTGATTTTTTAAAATATTGTTTTAGGTCCAAAAATAAAAGAAGATGGAAGGAAGGATGTACAGAAGGAAGGGAAAAAAAAGAAAGAAACTGTGACTATGAAGTAAGAACAATTTTCCTCATTTGTATTGAAAATTCTCTTTCATTCCAAATGGCAACAGCACTGGCTTCATGATTCCTTCTAAAGAAACTGTGGCTGGTGGAGTGGCTCACTCCTGTAATCTTAGCACTTTGGGAGGCCAAGGCCAGCAGATCACTTTGGGTCAGGAGTTCGAGACCAGCCTGGCCAACATGGCGAAACCCCTTCTCTACTAAAAATACAAAAATTAGTGGGGCCTGGTGATGCGCCTCCCAGCTACTCAGGAGGCTGAGGCAGGAGAATTGCTTGAACCCAGAAGGTGGAAGTTGCAGTGAGTCAAAATCATACCATGGCACTTCAGCCTGGGCGATAGAGCCAGACTCTCTCTCAAACAAACAAACAAACACAAGAAACTATCATATCATGGCCACAAACCTTTGAATATATGTGTTCCAGTTCCAATGTGTTGTCCCAAATAGGTTTCACTGTTCTGCAGTTGGTTTCATGCTTATATGCTACTTAATTTTAACAATCACTTATCCATCATTATTTCTATAATGAAAGCCACGCTACATATGTTAGTACACTATCTATATTATTACCAATAATATAATTTTTAGCTTTTTTCATGTGGGAAAATGAGAATTTATAAAATAACAGATCATATAATTAGAAACTATAGAGTAGAATATTATCCTTTATTCCTCAAAAGATAGCTGCATTTTAAAAGAAAATTCATTAGGATCAACAAATGTCACTTCTGTAAATATGAAGTGTAGAGTCAAAATTATTTTTCTAACCTTAAAGTTAGTTTCATATTTTTTTTCTAAATATGTTGATCTCAAGTAGTGTCAGCTCTATATTTTGTTTCTCTTTTAGCCCATACTTTGTTTTCATTCAAACTTCTTTCCCACCACATGAGAGTACCACCAGTGAGAAGGACTCAAAATAGCTTTCTCAATTAAGGAAAAAAAAAAAGTGGGAGCTGATAGAATAGCTGTTTAGTGACTGGCTACTGGAGTCCAGCCCATGGAAAAGAAAAGTGTGGTAGCAAAGGTGGCACCACAGAAATGATTATCAGTGGAAAAAGTGTCATGCCTCATGTGACCTCTGTCTGTTAATTTAACATGATGCATTTGAGTATAAAAATAATGGGCTGTGTCAGCCTTATTAATTATCTATGTTTATTCTAGAAGTCAGGATCATGAAATGCCTCCAAACCACATGATTTAACAGGCTACTTTAGACCTTTACTTACAAATCTCTGAGCAAGCAACTGATAATCCCATTGGAAGGCTCTTCTGTAGTCAGAGATGCTCTACTGAGCTGGACTTGAATAACACTAAAAGTAGCTGCAAGATGGTAGAATAATTGATTTTCCATAGTGGGTTCTTTAGCCTGGTAGGATAAGTTTCCTAGTTAATGAAACTGTTTTGTTGCTGAAGCACTTCCCTCTCTCATACTGCCTCTGTTTGTTCATTATAGTTTAAATACACTGCATTTAGGTTAATAATGGAAGCAAATTAGCCTATTGTGACTACTTACATGTTCTTCTTTGGTGTCATCTTTAACACGGCCTTTAAAAAGCAAGAACACAAGCTGGCAAGATAGTGTTTCAATACTGGAAACTATTAACACCTGAGAATTTACTGGTGGACCATTTTAAGAGGGAGATGTTTGTGAATGGGATACTATGTAGAAAGACCTTGCCATTGAGGGCCATTTTTTTCTAATTATTCTATCTAGCTGGTGTGTGTGTGTGTGTGTGTGTGTGTGTGTACACAGTCATATTTACATTTCGACTATGAACTTGCAAGAACATCTCTTTGTTCATAACTTCTCTGGATCTTGGCACTATGTTGGGTACCCAATGACTCTGTAATTCATGTTTATGAGGGGTAGATGTTCTAGCGAAAGCACATGAAGATTGGGATGAGAAGGCTGGGTTTCAGGTCTCTTTGATGCTTACCACCTGTGTGACTTGGGCAAGTCACTTAACCTCTTCGAATCTCAGTTTATCACCTCTAAAAGAACTATAATAATATCTTCTCTATTTATAGCATTCTAATTTGTTTGAAGATCAAGAGAACTATAATAATATCTTCTCTATTTATAGCATTCTAATTTGTTTGAAGATCAAATTCAATTATGAAAATAGTAATAAAATGCTCTATAGTTATAAAATGGTCTTAAGCCCTCTATTATTATTAATAGTAAGTAAACTTTAAAATATGATCTAGCCTTATAAATTTTTCATATTGTATGAGCCTTCTCACAAAGTTTAGAGGAGCATTTTGTTGCTAATATTCGCTATGCCTCTACGTTTGTATGTAGTATCCAAGGAATATAATCTTTTTAGATCATTCTGGAAAGAAAAATCGTTATTATGAAGGAAAGAAAGTGGGAGCTTGGTTAAATATCCAGGTTCACCTGCCATCTAAGAGTTATAAAACAATCTAATCAGATGAAGACCATTATTTATATAGGTTCTCCCCATTGTAACTAGATTGATAACCAGATTTAGATATGCCATTTCAATGCATGTCTCACCAACATGAAATAATTAGTAAGTTAATATACATCAATGATGCTTCTTTACTTTTTAACAGTAAAATCTAATTGTTCAGCTAATGTCCGCATTAGGTAAGCCACTTAACCCACTCGAACTTCAGCTTTATTCTTATAAGGTGAGAAAGTGGCATTGAATGATCTCTAAGGCCTTTTTTGGCTCTGAAAAGATTTGGATTTGTGATCTTGTGTGTCTTTGAGTATGTCATAAGTAAACGATGCTTTCACATCAGGAAAAGAATCATTTTAAAATATCTAGAAGTTATTCTTACATTAACTTATTCACTTCCATTATAGCTCTTATCACAGCCTCTAATTATCATGTATATTTATTTATTTTCCTGTTTAGGGTTGGCCTTTCTGTGAGACCTGAGACTGTCTTGATCACAGGTGGCCAGTGTCCAGTACAGTAAATATTTGTTGAATTAATGAATGAATGAATTCAACTTTATCTCCAGGGTGCCATGTCTTTATTCTTTAAAATAACATCACTGGGAGTTCAGTAGGATGTAGCAATCGTTGAATCTACTATTTATGTAAAATAATTAATAGAGGAAATGATTAAATGTTTTGCTTTCTATGTATGAGAACCATCTATATTTTACTAGTTTATGGCTTTATTACTTTAGCTAATCAAGAGTGTATGGCTTTATTACTTTAGCTAATCAAGAGTGGGATTTTCATAAGAAAGTTGTTAATGCATTTGGTTTTTTTAACACTAAATTTGATTAGCTATTTTGTTCCTAAAATTTATTATTGGCTCAATGTACTCAATATACTTGAGTACATTGTAATATCTAGATACATTCTTACATTAGGTAAATAAATTTGCCTGTTATTGGCATGTATTGTCTTATGACAGAAGAATGTTTGTCACCATTAAAATTGAATTGTAAATTTTAGAATTCATTGTGAATAGCAATATATCTTGAAATTTCCTATTGAGTTATTAGAATATACATTCTTTTCTACATCTCACTCATGTAGTTTCCCATAACATAAAAATGTTTGAACATCTTGTCATTTATCCTTCACAAACTGACTGAATTACTTTGTCAACATAGATTCAAGTTAAGGTCAATCTGGTTGCTATTTTCTGGCTTTAAATTGGTTGGAATAGTAGATCTCTATTTGTAAGACATTAAACAGTGAGCATCACCAATGAAACTTTTCTCCCAGTGAAGTAAACCTTTTCAAATTAGAAAAAAAAAAAAATCAAATTGCTTTGGAATACAGAATCACAAAAATCAGTGACAACTGAGCCTGTTATTCCCTGTTGTGGGACTTTCTAATAATAAGTCTCTTGAAAAATTACAAAAGGCATTATCTTTCATTGTCATTATTTATATACAACAGGAACTAGTTTTTCTAACAATGCCAGTTTCATCGATGAACTAACAATTTTTCCTCATTGAAAAGCTGTCAAGTTATGGTGGAGTGTAACTATGACAGTTTGTTAGAGGCAAACATTTGCAGCTTTCTATTATGATTTGTTCCCCAATGGATCTGGGAACCATTCCTCACAATAAAGCTAAGCCTATGTGTGATTCATAACCACACTTTAGATTACAAATTAGCCAAGAGGTAAAAACAAAACCAGTGAGACTTTAAGGAACACAGGTTTTGGTGACATGGCAGAGAAAACAGGATAGAGAATTATTTGCCTGCCTGTAAGACATTTGTAGTGCCTTGGCCACTGTGGACAAAATCACTCTTCAGTATATCCTTGCTGTGTAGCAAGAGTTGAACAAGAGACTCTCATCATAAACTTCTCTCACTATCACACATGCATGTATACATATTTATGCGATACTTTTATTTTGACTATTTTTGAACTGCAACACATTGCATATTAATTGAGTAAAACTGGTTTTGAATTGTCTTTTTAAAAGGTGCAAATTATGGTTTCAAAGTGACCTGATAGAGGTGCAAATGAATGTTAGCACAACATTTCTAAAATGGAATTATTTTAAATATATGCATATAGATATGAATTCAGAATTGGTCTACTTCATTTTTTGGTTGAGGGTTTACTGCCTTAAAATGGGAAATAAATGTGTGAATTCTATCAAGGGTGTGAAATTCTCCATTTGTACAGACTGGAAACTTGGTAATAATTATGAATATATAGCAATAGCAGAAATTATACAAAAGTTTAGCAACATTTTAATTTTAAATGCAAGTATTTCAAGAGTTGAGAATCTACTTGGAGAGATTTTCTTGCAGTCTTTGATATTAAAAAGTTAGGGATTTCTGAACAGCCTACAAATATAATTTACTTATAATTTTAAAACAGAAAATTGCATTGACTCACCTTTCCTATTTCTAAAGCTGTTTATTCAAAGTGTGTCTGAATCTGATAAACCCATGAGCCCCAACTTCACACAACCTAAGCGAAACTTAGCCTTTCTCTCTTCTCACATCAGTGGACAATGGGCCTCAGCTGCAGGGAGCAT